GTAGGTTAATCTAGGTTGAAAGATACTCGCTCTTACAAACTGAAATACATCACTCTAAGCTCTTCCGGCCTCTAAGGTTTGGGTTGAGAAGTCTGCTATAATTCTAGTGGGTTTACATTTATATGCGATTTTTTGTTTTTCTCTGACTACTTTTAAAATTCTGGGTTTTGTTAGACATCTGGCTTTTTAATAAGGATATGTCATAATGAGCTTCTTTTTTATTCACAGTTCTTTGGTGTTCTGGCAGCATCATTTCCTTGTGTGATGAACTCTTCTCACATTTGGGAAGTTTTCTGCTATGATTTTTGTAAATAATAATAATTCAATCTGTGTTATCTTATAGCTTTTTTCTTAACTCCAAGTAGGCCTAGGTTGGTCTTCTTAGTGTCATCTAGTACCTTCTGCATGGTCTTTTCCTATTCAGTCATTTTTTTGTGGCTGGAGTACTCCTTCATGGTTTACCATCCTAACATTGGTCATTTTTGCAATTTATGAATTCTATACAGTTTTTTATTTCAAGTATTTCTGAAATATATTGGAGGATTTTATATTCTTGGTGATACTGTTTTGTTGAGGTTGTCCATTTCTTCATTTTTCCTCTGAATTCACCTTGGTCATACTGAGTGATAATGCCATAAATTTATTTCCTCTTTGAGTTCACCTGTTTCTTCATTCCTTATAGAAACTTTTAATAGAATTCCACTACCTGATATTTGTTTTCCCTTTGTTCCCCCTTACTATGTCTTAAGAGTTGGGAGATCTTAGTGCTCTTCTGCTGTCTTGCTTCCTCAGCATCCTATGTGTATGGATATCCATTTTTTTATTGTTTATGAACCCCTGGAACTCCACATATTGGTACTGAGAGCAAATCAGTTGATATCCACTACTGTGTTACCTTGGGTACAGTAGTAAATTAAGTGGCATCAATGGGAACAAATGTCAACTAGGTATTGCCAAGCCTGGGAAACACTCATAGACATCCCTTAATTAGAACTAAGAAGGCTATGATTTTAGTGCAGATGGACTGCCCATATATTAGCCTACAATGCTTCGGACCACTAGTTTCTGCTGAATGTAGACAGTAGTGCTAGGGATCAAGGAAACCACTAGACTATGTACCTTCTCCTTCAGGACCACTTCCTCTGACATTTCACTCTTTAGCCTGGGGTCTCTCAACAGAAGATGGCCCTATCAACTTCCTGGTCTGACTTCAGGTTTCCCAAGAAATCCCAGGAGAAAACCATCTTAGCTCTCCCCATCGCCAAGCCTATCTCCCAAGGTTTCTCTCACCTGGTCTCCGTGCGGTAACGCTTCAGTCCTAAAGCAAATATCCCTCTTGGGTGTTGGTCTCCTCTGCAATCAGTTGAGTACATTGGTTGTCACCTCTACTGCCCTGTGCTGAGACACCAGAAGACCCTGGCATAGTCTTATCTGGTCAGTCCCATGAGTCTTCCTGGGCTGGGCACTTGGTGTGCGCCCTAACAGGCTGCGGGGGACACAGGGTTATCTTCCGGCATGTCTCAGGCTTCCTCCCTGGGCTGGGCATGCAGTGCAGACTCTGGGGTGCAGCCAGCTTCTTTACTTATTCAATTTGATTGTTAGTCAAATTTTTCTACCTCATTGCATGACTGTTATTTCAATTGTTTACCCTGTGGACACTACATATAAAATAGCTATAGAAGCCTGAGATGATATTATCTAACAGAGAGGGTTCTCACTTTCCCCACTTAAGAAGTATAAAACACTTTCAATACTGTGAGGAATTAAACTAGCTTTGCCTGGGGTATAGTTTTAGTGAGCCAATTACTCATCCTCTGGATTCTCTCTGATTTTAGTTATGGCACTCCCAAGTTTCTGATTGGTGGCCTGACAATTTCTGTCTCCTCAGCACTAAAATGCTGAAAAAATCTGGTTTTGCCCTTCAGAGATTTGAGTTTGGCTAGTCTTCTCTCTCTCTCTCTCTCTCTCTCTCTCTCTCTCTCTCTCTCTCTCTCTCTCTCTCTCTCTCTCTCTCTCTCTCTCTCTC